CATTTAGTGGGTGTTCGAAGTTACAACAGCAGTGAAAAAAGTGTCCGTTTTTCAAATTTACAACCATTGCAGCATCCTCCCAGTCACGTGATAAAAATTGGGATGCTTGGCAATGGATTCATATTTATAACAGTTGCTATGTCTCAGAATCATGTGATCCTTTTTGCGACCTGACAAGCAAAATCAATGGGGAAGTCAAATTCAATTAATAACTGTGTTACTAACTTAACAATTGTAATTGGGTGGTATTCACTTACTTTCCCTAATGTGAGCGCACGCCCCACACGCACATGCGCTTGGTCTTCTGCGCATGCGCTTTGATTGCATGCACGGGTTGCACGTATGCACGCGGCTTGAAAACGTGCCCAAATAGAAGGGCATGGAGCTGGGGCAGATGGACAGGCCCACTTGTGATTTCCACTACCGGTTCAGGCGAACTAGTCCGAGCTGGCTGAATACCATCTCTGATGGTAATGATTCACTTAGCGACTGTGGCAAGAAAGATCATAAAATGGAACAAAATTCACTTAATAAATGTCTCACTTAGCAACATAAATTTGGGGCTCAATTTTGGTCGTATTTCAAGGACTACCTATACTCAGCTTATCCATAAATATCTAGGATAGTCCTTGTTTCTTCTTGCAGGGGTTTTCTGCTTACCTCTTTTACTTATGCTGTATTACAGCCTCATGAAAGGGATGCTTTGCTCTCAGGGCCCTTGTTGGATGTGATTCGCATCAGCAATGAGCAAGACAGGGCTGAGTGGTCCACCAGCAATACTCTTAAGTCTTCTGATACTCAGATTCACAAGAAACCAGCATGCCGCAGCAAGCACCCTTCGGGATCTAATGTGAGCTTCAGCAAAGACATCGAAGGAGGAGAGGAGGAGACAATTCAGGTAATGAAGGACGGGTCACTTCTGCCCATTTTCTTCATTTCATGCGGGAGACCATGCCAACGTAGAGCAGTGATTTTCATACCTGGCTGGGGAATTCTGGGAGTTGAAACTTGCACATCTTTTTTTTAATAAAATATTTTATTTTATTTTAATACAAACAATTCTTCTTCCATTAAACAGTGTGTCATTTGAGTACAAATGTCTTATGCAATAACAATTAAAATTTACAGTCATCTCATTATTTATCTACTCTTAACTTAATATACATAACACATCTAATACTGTAACAATCCTCATCTTAACTTATTTAATTATTGTGATATATTTTCTTTACTTCACTAATCTACTTTTATTTCTAACTTTCATATTTATTCTCTAGCCTTCGGTAGAATAGTTCCCATATAATATAGTATTCAATTTGTTCCTTTTCTTTAATTGCAAGTGTTAACCTATTCATTTCTGTACATTCTAATATTTTCCTAATCACCTTCTCATCTGTATGAATCTTTTCACTTTACCGGTTTTGTGCAATACAATTAGCTGCAGTTAATACATGAATAATCAAATTTACGTTTTCTTTGCTATGAGTTCCTGGTAATATTCCCAATAAGAGTATTTCAGGTTTCAAATCAATGTGCGGATGTATCATTTTCTCGAAATTAACACAAGTTAAAGTTTCCAACTTAAAAAACACATTGATCCAAAGGAATATGAGTACTGCCCCCCTTACTCTGTGTTAACATTACTTGTATTAGTGAGGATTTCCATCATAAAGTTACCAGACAATAGATTGTGAGGGCTTTGGGATCTGAGACTGGGGTGTGTTATAGACGATAGAGAAAAGACCTGGAAAATATTTGGGAACTCCCATTTTAGAAGAGGTTTTAAAAATCCGAAAGAATATGGTGAGCATCTTTAAAAAGGTTTCAGGGAACTGTTTACTTGGGTTGTGCATACTTCAAAAATTATTCAGAAATGCCTCAGTCTGCAATCGTTACAACAACTACCTCCTTTTTCAGCATCTCTGGAGGATCCATTCAAGAAACAGGATTTTTTTCCTGCCTGTTTAGAAGCCTGAAGGCACAGAGAAATGCTTTGCTTGCATGGAATTTGAAGTGCTTCTGAATCATGTTTGCATAACCATTTCATTTGTAATGTGGGGTCATTTTGGTTAACTTCAGCCACGTGACTCCCAGTTTAGGTTTCTTATGTAATATATAGACTGCAGTTCCGGGATTCCCTTTAATTTTTCCCTCCTATAGAAAAAACATAAAATTTAAAGCTTAACACATGGAAGCAATACTTTCATGTTCAGCTTCATAGACCTGAGGAGGAGAGTACAGCTACTCTTACATGTCCTATTATTTTCACAGTTGCTACTCAGCCGTGACCAGTAAACAGCTGAGAAATCAAATAGGAACTGGTTTGTTCAGTTTGTTAAACAAAGCTATCTGCCATTTGTTGTTTTTTCTTTAAAATCCAATTAGAGACAGATTTCTTCAGGCTCTTGAGGCTGTTTCTCATATGTCTTTTGACTTTATGTCCTGCCTTTATTCTCCAGAGACTTATGACACCAGCAGTTCTCTGGAGAATTGTCCAAGTCTAAAAACCATGCAAACGGAAAAGAGAGTTCAAGTGACCCTTCAAATTTTAGTTTCAATGTTTTTGCCTGTAATTTTTACTATCATCCAATCCTTTTGATTGTTTTCTCTAAATCTGAATCTTGCTTTCTAATATGAAAAAGTAATAATATTATTCTGGGACCTCAATAACGAAATGGAAGAGCCTTAATGGGCATGTGTAATCGCCTATTAGAAACTTTAGGCTAACAGATGAATATTTATAAGGCAGGGGTGGGTAACTATGGCAACGTTACGACCTGTGGACTTCCATTCCCAGAATTCCTGAGTCAGCTGGTTGGCTCAGGAAATCTGAGAGTTGACATCCCCAGATCATAAAGTTGCCCCACTTACCCACATGTGATATGAGGGAAGGAGTGGCTGGCATTTTCTCTATCACTGTAGCCATATTGATTTCAGGTGTTTAGGTTTAGGTTTAGGTTTTATTTAATTTGTATGCCACCCTATTCCCGAGAGACTCAGGTGAGATACCTGTTTTTTAAAAATCCTGTTAGAATTGACCAAGCCTATCTTTATTACGGGCCCAGGTGGAAAGTGACATTGACGGACTAGCCTGCGAGGCTGAAGACTTTGTCTGCGATTACCATTTGGAAATGCTTAGCCTGTCTCAAGACCAGCAGAATCCTTCCTGCATCCAGTTTGATGATTCCAACTGGCAAATGCACTTAACCTCTCTGAAGCCCCTGGGCCTGAACGTGCTGCTCAACCTGTGCAACGCAAGTGTGACGGAACCCCTCTGCCGCTTCTCTGACCACTTGTGTAACCTCGCCTTGCAAGAGACACATCATGCTGTCTTGCCAGTACACATACCATGGGGGCTTTGTGAACTTGCTAGACTAATAGGTATGGGGCAGGCAAGGGTGGGCTTCAAAAATTTCAGCAACGACTTCTCTGCTCAGTTGCTGGGTGGCCGTGGGCATGGTGGGCGTGGCCTAGTCGGCCTCCTGCACCACGGCGGGGCGACCCTTTTCGTCTTCCCTAGGCTCCAGAGGCTTTCTTTGAGCTTCTGGGAGGGCAAAAACTGCCTTCCCCGGGCTCCAGAGGCCTTCTGGGAGGCCTGTTTTCCCCCCTTCCTGAGATTCTGCTTGCCCCTGCACTTACGTCGCATCCAAAACATCTTTGGTGGGGTGGGATGGGGTGGCAGGGATGGAGCCGGGTGTGGTGGGTGGGGCCAACCAGGGGTGGGATTTGGAGGTTCTCTGAACAGGCCATAACGTTGGCTACGGGTTCTGCTGAACCCGTAGCAGCCCCTCCCCCCCGGGAGCAGGTGATAAAATATCTCCCTTGTTTTTAAGAAGAAGTCTCAAAGTGCTCCCTTGTTAGCAGAAATGTCCATAGTCATGGACATTAGTGCAGGAGATGCTGGACAACTAAGACATAACATCTCTTTCTTAATTCTCTTAAGGTAGGAATTTTGAAACTTAGAGAGTTCAGTTTCATAAAAAGTAGATTCCATCAAATCTTGATGGTTTCCGTGAGAGACTAAGGGTGGATTTTAAAAAATCAATTTAAACAAATCCTATCTATTTCTATCAATACAACTTTGCTTCTTGTTCAACAGTTTGGGGATTTTTTTTAACTATAAGAGGCTCTGTAGCCTGAAAAACAAACCTAACATATTTTCATTTGATTTCTTAACGTGTTAACATTCTGATAACACATATAGGGAGAAAGTGCCACTTGGTTTGGCTTGTTAAATTCCAAAAGATAATAGTGTTTATAGGTAGTCTTTGGCTTACAATCACAACTGAACCCAAATTTTATGTTGTTAAGTGAGTTTTGCCCAATTTTATGAGCTTTTTGCCACAGTGGTTAAGCAAATCATTGCAGTTGTTAAATGAATCATGCAGAGGTAAACTGTCTGATTTCTAACTTCTTTGTTTTAATCAAGAGATAGCTGAAATGGCTGTACAAAAGAGGATTAGGGCCTCCTATAATTGTTTTCATTTCCCCTAATTGGTTTAAGCCTTCAACATTCACCCATATCAGAAATGGGTAATACACCTTGCCCATGTCTGACAATCATATGCTACTCTCATTTGTATAGTTACCATATTTTAAGAAAGACTTTTAGAATGCTGCAAATTCAGTTAATTGTAGGTCTCCGGGACAAGATCAGTCACCCACAGAATCATCCCTTGATCCCAATCTCTGATTTTGAGGGCAATTTTACATGGTCGTGTGTCTGTTTTGGCACCCAATGTTTTGTTTTGGATTGCAAAATAGCAGGACAGAAAATTCAGCAGGAGGTGCTATCTGGAGGATGGTGCTGGCCAGAAGGGAAATGGTGTGTGAATGAGAAGAGCTGCTGCATATTTTGTGTGATCTGGGTAATCTTTCCTTGTAGTGTCCTCCTTTTTTATTGATGGTTTTCATTCTTAGGGTTTACACCTGGTGCCAAAGAGCTTTTCAAGCAGGAGAACTACATGGCCCTTTACCGCCTGCCTTCTGATGAGATGGTGAAAGAAGTGATGCTTGGGAAGCTCTCCTTCATCACCAAGAGGAGGCCGCCTTTGAGTCACATGATCAGCCTTTTTGTGAGAGACACCACAACCAGTAAGATTGTGAGACTGATCGCTGCTGTGTCCAGCCTCTGGGATTTCAATTTGACAAGCAGCCCCTGTAGCTAATTCCAAGATTTAAGACATGCACTTGAATATATAGTAAAATGCCAGGGGGAAGAAACGTTGCTATTCCACTGACATCACAGAAGGTTTTTCAAAATGAAGATTGACTAACTTTTCTTGATTGATGCTTTAAAATACAACTTTGGGTCTTGGGTCTAATTCCATCTGAGAACTAGAATATTAGGATTTTCCCAAGTATCACATTTCAATTTAATCTCTGTTAATTCCCATTGTCTTTTATTTTAAAGAATTGAGTATATATTCCACACTTGCCCTGAAGGTATGTAAGCTCTGTAAAATGCTAAATAGGTTTGGAAAGCAGAATTGATTTTTATTACAATTATTTTAATGCTTAAAAGCTAGTTGGACTTAACAACTGTATTAGAAATAGTTGTTAACAACGCATTTTGGTTGCCTTCCAGGATTACCAAGAGATAGTTCTCTAACTTCTTGGCACAGTGCAGCTGTATTAGGACAGCAAACCCAGAATTTCCTGCCAGCAGAGCTGTGTTGACTAAGTATTATAGTCTGGTTGCATCTAAAGGGCCCATGAGGGGAATGGTTGGTTTCTGGAAAAAGATAGGAAACAATAGGATTTCCAATTAAACGAATCTTCCTTATATAGAAGCAGAAGAAATTCATTTTCGACACACCAATGTGTTAGGAAAAGAGGACATCTTTGTCCTGTTTTCCTTTATTAATATTTATTGCTTTTTAATTAATAAAAAGTGCTTTAACAAATCATTTTAACAGTAAACTATAACAGTTCTTTATACTTATCTAATGCAAATATTATTCAGGTGTATGTATATATTTCTAATACAAAGCTTTGCCCTGCTTTGAGACCCAATGTTGGAAAGGGATAGGACAGGTGAGAGATGACAATCGATCCCTGGGGACAGCCATTTTTTGCTATATAGGTGTCCTGTATTTGGCACTGAATAGGTTAGAGGTTCGCCTCAAAGAAATGTTGCTTATAGATGAGGTGTGCTTTTTATTGTAGACCTTGCATAAGTCCCTGAGTGTGGAAAAAATGATGGGTACTTTGTCAGTTGCACTAATTTGACTCTAATTGACATAAGAAAACAAAACATAATTGTCCAGGAAAGCTGGGGTTGCCCAGCTGTGGCTCCTGACAGGCGGTGATCTCCTGTGATAATTTGATGACAGGCAGTGGGTTATTTTTAGGGCCTGCTCTGTTCGGTCATCACCATTTTCTCCTTTTGTTCAGTGCAAGAAGATGCTTGTGAGTGATGTGGAAGCTGTAAAATAAATGAGCCTGCCTGCAAGCCACCTTCAGGCTTGCTATAGAGGTCCAATTTTCTCTCCTAGGCACAGAGCAGATGCTTTCCCATGGGACTGCTGATATCATCCTGGAGGCCTGTACAGATTTCTGGGATGGCTCGGATATCTACCCGCTTTCTGGTTCTGACAGGTAGACAGACTGCTCTTTATGCCTCTTTATGCCTCTTAAGGGACACTGGCTTTGTAATACAGATTGCTGGACAATGGCTTCTCAGGATGAATGTTTTGTGCCAGGGATTTTTCCTTCAGTCTGAAGAGTGCTAATGGCATCAATCGGATCCTGCTTCCAGAGCTCAATTTCCCTATTGAGGAAAATATATTTATTTAGATGCCATCTCCCTCACAGAAGAACTCTTGGTGGAGTTCAAATAAAATGTTAAGAAATAAAAACTGAATATAAAAAAATAAAATAGAGGCAAGGATAGTTAAAATTCAACATTAGTGTCTTCATGACAGAACAGTATTGCAGGTAATCTTCTCAAAGCCTGGAGTTCGATCCTTATTGGAATCAAGGTTGGTTGACTCAGACTTCCATCCTTCTGTGGTCAATAAAATGAAGACCCAGATTGTTGGGGGCAATATGCAAATAATGTTTCAACACTGGAAACTGCCCAGAGAGTGCTTTAAAGCGCTATGGGGCAGCAAAGGTAAAGGTTCCCCTCGGACATATGTGCCAGTCGTTCCCGACTCTAGGGGGCAGTGCTCATCTCCGTTTCAAAGCTGAAGAACCAGTGCTGTCTGAAAACGTCTCCGTGGTCATGTGGCCAGCATGACTAAACCCCGAAGGCCCATAGAATGCTTCCCACGAAAGGTGGTTCCTATTTCTTCTACTTGCATTTTTATGTGCTTTTGAATGGCTAGGTTGGCAGAAGCTGGGACAAGTAACGGGAGCTCACTCAACCTAACCCTCATGAATTACTGCAGCTTTCCCAGGATGCTCCATTCCAATTTTTACCACTACCATGCTTTTCTATTCTCCTTTCCAGCAGACTGACAGCCTCCCTATATTTTCATTCTTCACTAAGCTGTTTTAATCTCCCTGACCTCTCCAGAACTATTGAAGGGATGAATCTGAAATAATATTTTTCAAGGAAATTCAGTATTTCAGCTATTGCTCATGTTAACACATGGGTTTGTTATGCAACAACTAACAACAACAGCAACAGTAATTTAGTGTGAAATTGTTTCTAATTGCTTTTGTCTTCTATTTTCTCAGGAAGAAAGTGCTGGATTTCTACCAGCGTGCCTGCCTTTCGGGTTATTGTTCTGCCTTCTCCTACAAGCCCATGCATTGTGCCTTGTCTTCCCTCCTGAATGGCAAATGCATAGAACTGGTGCAGGTCCCTGGACAAAATGCCATCTTCACCTCTTGTGATCTTCCAGGGACCATACCTATCAAGCAGAGCAGCCGCCGAAATAGCTGGAGCTCAGATGGTACGTGCTTCACCATCGTAGTTGAGATTTGCTGCAGAAACAGAAGCTGAAATAGATTCACCATAGCTTTTAAAAGATGTTGCAGGGAGGAAAATAGTATTTTGGGGTGGGGTGGGGGGAATAATGAAATTTAAAAATACAGGGTCAGATTATTGTCACCTTCAATTACAATGTTATTTTACAAAATGCCAGTTAAGGTGCTGTTATAGTGAACACAAAATTGCTTGTGCTGCAAAATATATTCTCTCATTGAGAATTCTCTGTTTAAATAAAGTTTATTTCTTATAGAAGGCACTGTAATTGCACAAAGATCTCATTATCTTTGGATTCATTTTTTTTCATGGTTCAGGGTCCTTTCCTGGTCACCATCTGATCTGGCAAATGTGAAAGAATTCTGCTTACCTAAACCTTTGATGTTTGCTTTTTTAATAATATTTTTATTGAAATTAAAAAAAAGAAAGATAAAAGCTAATACAGAGTAAGAAATATATATATGTGTGTGTGTGTGTGTGTTGTATTTGTGCTGATAAATAAATAAATAAATAAATAAATAAATAAATGAAAAAGCACTGAGAAGGGGAAAAAACCTTGATGTTTGGACAAGCTTGCCCTGTCATCGGAAAAAGGTTTAATTTGATCCCGCATCAGTCTTGCTCCTTTAGCTTGGCAAGATCCTCCAGCATCTTCTTTTAGCTGATTGTAAAGAACTAATTTAGACATCCCAGTTAGCATAAGGCAGGAGAAGCAGAATAGCAGTGGTCTCTTCCAAGTCAATTTCCTTACTTTCTGCTGATGTGGATGTTTGCTAAGAAGATATTGGTCATCCAAACCTTCCCCCTAGCTTTTTAAAATGTTCTGGGATTTGAGTGTTCTCTTAATCACTTTGCACATAACTTTTCTGTTACTGATTTTTTAATAATTGATGAGCATTTTTTTTCTTCCTTTCTGTGTCCCTCTTTCACTGGATACTTGCATATGTGTTGTGCTGGGGTCTTTTGGCCATGACTGATCATACTTCCTTCTTGATCCTTTAAATGGATGTCCTGCATGTTCTCTGGTGGATGTCTGTCCCTGTCCCTGCATTCCACCTTGGCTGCCCATGTCTCCATGGCGTATCTGCTTTCTGTGCATTTGCTCTTGTTCACATGCCCAAAGAAGGGATCGGGGAAGTGATGGAAAAAGAGGACTGTATCCAGGCTTTGAGTGGCCAGATCTTCATGGGCATGGTCTCCTCCCAGTATCAGGCCCGATCGGATGTCGTCCGCCTCATTGAAGGACTAGTTAATGCTTGCATTCGTTTTGTCTATTTCTCCCTGGAAGATGAGCTGAAGAGTAAGGTAAGCTATTCCTTTGCATCATTTTTAGCATGCATTCTTCCTTTAGCAGCCATGTCAAGGACACAGTGGTCCTCTTCATCCTTGGACAGATCCTGAACTAAAGTTAACTTTTTCTTCTTCTTTTGATATGTTTATTGTCTTTTAGCATTTATGGGTTTTGTGGTAGCTAATCTCTTTTAAATTGTGATACTTTCTCCTCCCTCTTCTCTTTCCTACAAATACCCCAATTAATAATTTAGTAATGGAATGTTCTTCGATTTGTGATCATAATAAATTTTTCCCAAAGTATGTTGTTATCAGGAAGATGTATATTAAGAAAGAATCTCACTAAATGCGCATTAGACTTATTTTAATATATATTACTATAATAGTAAATTTGACATAGTCAATCTAGATTGGCTTGTGCGTCCCAAATGGGAATATATTCATTCTGCTCCAAAAATAGTTCTCCTGCTATAGTAGAGCCAAACAACATTTGGAAATATGTATACATTTGGAAATATGTATACATTTTTAGAATATGGATAGTTTTTAATATACTATTGATGACTTTTTAATCAGAATAACCAGAAAGGTTTTGATCAAAATACACAGTTGAATATCTTGTAAGATGTGATCTTGAAATTGAATCTAGATTGTAGGCCCAAATCAATGCTTTTATTTAATTTTCTCTCTTGCCTTCCATTTTTGCCCAGCATATAAATTTAATGAATAAATAATTTTTTACAGGTGTTTGCGGAGAAGATGGGTCTTGAGACTGGCTGGAACTGCCATATATCTTTAACGCCCAATGGAGATGTGCCTGGTTCTGAAATCCCTCCCTCCAGTCCCAGCCATGCAGGCTCCTTGCATGAGGACCTTCCTCAAGGTGAGCGAAAATAGCTTGGCAGGGTTTGCAGAGCGTGAGCAGAACATTGGCTATGACAAAGGTGTCTGATTTGTTGAAGCAATTTCTAATGTGCTCTTGCTGACCGAATGTTGCTCTATGGGACAGCCCCACTTTACCTTTCTTAATTCCTCAATACCATAAGTATCTAAGGACTGAAAAGACAAGTCAAGTGGATTAGAGGGCCCCACTGTTTAATCACAAGCACCATCTATATGGGCCTTGAAGTAGTTTAAAAGTAATAATCTTGAATTGTCTATGAGGTCTTCAATCATCCGGATCGTGATTGCACCAAAGGGGCTTTTCCAAAAGGCAAGAAGAACTGAAGAAGCTTTTTGGGTGAGAAGCACAATGCTTTCAAAGAAAAAAAAACCAACCAAGAAAACCCAATTGTCTTTTGGAAAAGCACCTTTGGGACAATAACCTTGAATTCTACCTGGAAGCCAACTGATAACCAATGCAACTCACAAAGTAATAATGTCATGGTCATACTGAGGAGAGTCATGCTGAGGTTTTGCCTGACAACGAGACCTAAGACTAAGACTAACCCCAATTTCCTTTGACAATAGGAGTTTCACATGTATTTTATATGATCCAAGAAGAAGTCTGAACAAAAAGCTATAACTGTCCCTTTCCTTGGAGAACCTCTAAGAATCTATTCCTGAGATCAGTTCTTGACTAGGGCTCCAAAGAGATCTAACCTGACCCTAATCCTAACCTCTAGCTTTAGTATCATTGGAAATGGGAATTTCCCAGGTGTTTTACAGTGGTTGCCAAAGGTGCATTCATAATTAACCTCTCCTGCTCCATTCTGAATTAGCTGTAGCTTCTAGAAGATCCAAAGACAGCTCTGTGTAGAGCATGTTGCAGTAATGAAGGCAAAAAAGGGAATAGATAGGAGTGACTGTTGATAGGGCTTCCAGATCCTGGAATGGTACATAAAATGGATTTCAGTCATGGCTGCCACATATCTTCAAACAGAAGTCATGAGTGTAGGAGTGCCCTCAAACTGCACACTTGTCTGGGGCAGCACAATTCATTCAGAACCAAGGATGGAAAATCTTTGGATCTAGAAAGCAATCTTTACCTTCACCATCCTCCATAAGTATAGTCAATACCATTATGGGATTGGGCCAAAATCTGAAAGCTGACTGGAAGAGATCCAGGTAATCAGTTTCTTCCAGAGATCTTTGAAGCTGCAGTCCAAACACTTTCTCAACAACCTTTCTCAAGAAGGACAGAAACAGATAAAAAATTCAGCAGAACTGTTGGATCCACTGAAGGCTTCTTGAGGAGTTAGTGGGGCATCTCCTCCTTAAGCACAGAAGAATGGCCCCATCAAACAAGGTTGCATTCACCACTTGAACCTAGCCACAGTTATCTCTTGGGAAGTCTTGACTAACAGGGAGGTATATGAATCCATGAGTAAGCCACTACATTCTCAGCTTTGATAATCCAGTTCCCTTCCTTGAGACCAAAAGACTCAACCTGTTCCCAAACAGCCACACCAGATCATACTTCCGGCTATTTACCTTCACCTGTGTAGCTGAGGGCTGTAAAAGCACTTGAAGCTGTATATAAGTCTAAGTGCTATTGCTATCACCTGTATAGCTGAAATTCAGCTTATAGTGATTATGGTATTTTTATATGACAAATTTGTCAAAGGTTCTCACAGTGGTCCTTCTTTTGACCCATCCATCCCTTGGAGGGACCAAGTCATCTTAAACAGGGCTACTAGATGGCAATCCATGGAAGCAATAAGAGCAGAAATACAATTGTGTCTTTCTCCAGTGCACTGCTCAGAGAGTCCAAATGCTGGGTTTAACACAGCCTATCTGCCCTTGGACTGAGTGAT